CCTGATGCTTCTATTCGCCTTGTATCCCTTTCTACCTTTACTCTCAGTGTAGCTAGCTACAACTAGAAAGTGATCTGATATATCTGTGGCCCCTCTTTAAACATGTACATCCTGATAGTTCATACTCAAAAGTCTTTATCTACCAATTACACATAATCCAACAAACTACTGTCATTTCGCCCCTAATCATATCGTTGTATACTTATGTATCCCTCTTTTTCTTAATATATGTATCCTATAAACTCAAACCCCTTCTATACAAAGTTCAATCAAAGGGCTTCCATTATCATTTACACTGGCACCCCAAAACTTACCTACCACACTCTCTCTAAATGTTCTCTACTTTTGCATTCAGTCCCCTTCCAAATTACTTCTCACTTGGTTTCAAAGGCTCCTATTTACATTCACTAACAAATCCCCCCAAAACATCTCTCTCTCTCTCTGCATTCTCTCTTCTCCAGGTGCATACCACGCTTGTTATGACCACTTCTCGCATCCAACCTTTACTTTAATCCACGTTAATTCTTGGAATTTTCACATTCATATTCTCTTTTCTCCTTCCTAACTGATCATTTACCTTACTGCTACCCCCTTACTTTGCTTAACCTCTCTCAGATACTCCAGATTTAATCCATTTATTTCCCCCCACTGAAACTCTCCTACCCCCTTCAGGCTTTGTTTCGCTTGGCCAGGACATCCAACTTCTTTTCATTTCATACATCTAGCAAATCATCTGTTTCTTGTCATCCGCACTACTTCCACGCACAATTTAAGAAACCCAGTTTTATAATGTTTTTATTCTTCTCTTTTTTAGTAATTGTATACAGGAGAAGGGGTTTACTTAGCCATTGCGCCCGGCACATTTTAGTCGCCTCATACGACACGCATGGCTTACGGAGGAAAGATTCTTTTCTCTTCCCCATGGACGATAGAGGAAATAAAAAAGAACAAGAGCTATTTAGAAAAGGAGAAAAACCTAGATGAGATGTATGATATAATATATATGCATGTGCGTGTCTGTGACAGTGTGACCAAAGTGTTAGTAGAGTAGCAGGATATCCCTGTTATCTTAGCGTGTTTATGAGACAAGAATAAAGAAAACCAAGCAATCCTACCATCATGCAATACAGGTTTCAGGTTTTTGTTTCACAGTTTCATCTGGCAGGACGGTTAGTACTTCCCTGGGTGGTTGCTGTCTACCAACCTACTACTACAGACTTAAATCCATGTATTAACTAAGAAAACAGTAAAAAGATGAATGGTCCGTATGTGTCTTCATCTCTACAAGTTTATGGTTTCATTTTCCTAAATCTACGTATTAGCTAAGAAAACAGTACAAGAGATGAATGGCCTGAATGTGTCAAGTATTTCTGAGGTTGTCAGATTACCATTTCCAGTTTTATAAGTGACATCCTCACAAACCTAGATGTCGTTGTCTTTTTTTTTTTTTTTTTTAACCTTCTTCTTCTCTTTTCTCCTTAGTGTTCTAAATTGGTTAGGTCATTTTGTCAGTTTCATCAGAGTATAAATGGAGGTTTATAACAATGTTTCTTTAAATTTTTTTATTCATGAAAAAATATTTAAAGTTTTTTTTTTATACCTTACATGGAAAGTTGTCATTCTTTAGTGAGCTGGAAATGTGTGGAGGACGGTTAATTAATGTGGCCATTTTCCATACCAGACAGTATAAATTGTGTAATAATGTTGGTTTAAAATTACCATCCAATATGTTACAGTAAAAGGGACATAGAGTTGCAACTAATGTGACGTTTTTATACTGTGGCAACGTTTCGCTTGAGAAAGCTCTTCTGAAAAGCGAACTGTTTGCACATTAAAAATGTCACATTAGTTGCACTTGTGTCCTTTTTACTTAACATGCAGTATTTAATATGTGACAGGGAGTGTCAGCTTACTGCCACTGTCACCCACCACCTTCACCCTGCCATCAGCATTGGTAAAATCAAGCCACATTTTCCTTCCCAAATTACAGCAAAAACATTTTAGGAATTTTTACACACCTCTAACTCAAAACAAATTATATATTAAAAGAAGTATGCATTTGAGAAGATAATAACCAAGGAAAATGTTATCACAGTACAGTAGTATTGTAATAAAATGGTTGGAAGTTATGTGTTAAGGGTTTTGAGGGCCGTCACAAGTTTATGATTATTGATCCCTGGCTTGCCAGTATTGGAAAGAATATTAGTGCCAAATACTGCACGGGAATGGGAAGGTAGTAGAAGTTCCCTTTGTGAATAGAAACATGAATAAAAAATCCATAATTAGGTCAGGTGGACCCATGCCTAAACCTTGCGCAGATCCAGACAGCCACCTAAACTGTCAGACCCGCTTCACCCCAGGCCTTTTAAAAATCTGCACAAACCAGTAGGAAAAAAAAGAGGGAGCAGTTATATGTTGCCACAGTCATTTACCCTGGTGGGCAGTTATATGTTGAGGACCAAATGTCCTGGGGAATTTTTGTCACCAATTCTCTACTGTTTATGAAGTACAGCCTCTTCTCACTTAGCGTGTTACTCATTTACGACACTTTGGACTTACAAAAGGCTCTCTGACCCAGTATTGCAGCCTAAATGATTGTATATTAGAGCCGTTTTCCGCTAGTCTGTTTATTTCAATATACAGTACACTGCTGTTTAAACATTTGGGAAAATATAACAGAAAATTTTTATTAAATGGTAAAAGGTGACATTTAAAAACAATATTAAAAGATAGTTGACTCAAAACCCAATACCATTTTAGTATGCTCCTCACTTGCGATCCAAATTCGTTTTTCCGGACGTGTGGGTCTTAGGAAGGGACTCCGTTGTTAAGTGAGGTAGGGCTGTATTAAAATTACATTCATTGTGTGGATTATTTGATTACAATTTATATGCTTTTACAATTGAAATTAAGGATAAAAACACACGACTTTTACGCCTCCTTTAATGGTATCTTCCTTATATGATTTCAGCGTGATATGCAGAAGGGTTGTTGAGGTTGTTGTCTCAGATCTTGAGAATCGATCACTTCCCATCGTCGGGTGTTGCACCACACCTCCACCATCACCTGACCTTCAAGGACACAGCAGCTATTGTCCTAGCATTAAGAACTCTTGGATCATTTGACTTTGACGGAACAGGTTAGTAGGAGCCTTTGTTAATTAAGTTAGATAGAATAAGTTCTTGGGTGGTTTTTTTCTGTAAAGGTGCATTAAATTGTATATAGGATTCTTATTTAAAATGTTCTGCTTTTTGTAAAATTGCCTACTGTACAAATTATGTCTTATTTTGTAGGTATCAGTTTTAATGAGATTTTTACAAATCCCTCTTCATCCTATATTAATTTACTTTTTTATTTATATGCATTTTTATATACAGATTTTAACCCTTTCAGGGGTTTCGGACGTACTAGTACGGCTTACGCAACCGGGTTTTTGATGTACTAGTACAACCTAAATTCTAGCGCCTTCATATTAGTGAGAGAAAGCTGAGTAGGCCTACATATCGAAAGAATGGGTCTATGTGGTCAGTGTGCGCCAGTATAAAAAATCTGCAGCACACAGTGCAGTTACATAGAATTAGCATACATACAGCATATGTGTAGAGAACCTAGGATAACCCAAAAAAGTCAGGACAGAGTGGACTTATTTCAATTGGGGTCCTTTTACCTTAATATTATAATATAAAGGTTATAATATTTTCTTTATATTCTTAATGAAGATAACCATCTTATTATTATACTTAAAGGACTATCTACATAATGAGGGTCATTAAGACTCTATCTACAATCACGCAAAGGGTATTACTAGGAATAAGGTAAAAATTTACACGTATGTTAGTTCAAAGAATAGAAAATCATTCCCCTCCCTTTCTGTAGCTACATTCATCAGGCACCTTTTGGCACTCTTCATGAACTGGTTCATGCTATGATGGGCTTTGGACATTTGCGGGCAGTCTGTTCCATTCCTTTATTGCTGTACGTAAAGGTAGTTTGAAGCCTGGCCAATGTCTGTGGGTACTACAAGTTGTGCTCTCTCCCCTAGTACTCATGATTGCTATGGTTCCCAACTTGACAAATGGACAGCATGATATTCTGGACACTGTTTGGGAGCAAATTTTATAAAATGATTTAGCTTCAGTTGTTTTACTCTGTCTTCATACATTCTCGCTTTATCCATACTGCTATGCGTCAACATGTCAACTGGTGAGTCTGATATTCTTTCACAATGTGCGCTGATATTGTTTATACTATTTATTCAATAATGCAGTAGTTGCATAACAAGTAAATCTTCTATTTTTTTATGAGAATAAAAATTCAAAGAAAACTGGAAAGCAAAAAGAATGTATGAGGGGCATGGGGACGTGTCTAATGAACAGAAGAAATGTTATTTTTGTTGCAGGAATGTCCTTCTTGTTTATTCTGGACCCTATTGGAAATTGGGCATCTGTTGAAATTGTGTGAAATTGCAAAATTGCTAAATTCTTGACCACTCTGTATACTGGATACGTTGAAATCAGTAAATATGTGGTTTTTGTACTCATTCGATAGAAAAAATGGAGTCTGGGGAAATAGTTATGATTTTTGTCGACTAGTACAGTGGAATTGGCCGAAAATAGGGCTAAAAGTGGGCAAATTCACCCGATGCGTAAACATAGTCGAGACCACTGACAAATGCACACTCATCCTGCCACAGAGACACCCCTAAACACTTCTTCAGCATTAGAGAAGTATAGAAGTGGATGCTGAATAATCCACACAGCATTAAAGTTTTTAATGTAATAATACCAGTAACAGTAATAATAAAGAAGTGGAATAATTTGGAGTGTGACACTTTGCAGGTCAACTCAAATAGGTAATTAAGGACACAGACATACTAGACACTAAGACATTACAGTATAAAATTACTAGACCATTCTGTTTACATACTTTAAAAAATAAAATATTTGAAACATTTTCATGCATAATATTAAACCTTAATAAATGAAAATATTTCTAATATAGATATTTGTTTCAACAGATTCTAGATGAACTGGACTACAGTGGCATTGGACGTAATCGCGAGTTGAGTGCACACATGCTGGGACACTTAATAGGCAATGCCCCCAGATTTATGCGTCAGTTTGTTCAAGCAATCATGTCCGTCTTAGTTCCAAAGCTGAAGGACCAGGATCCAAATCCAGCCGTGACAATGTGTGTTCTTGTGGCTATTGGGGACTTAGCTCAGGTACTGTATAGCTACCATTTATACAACTAATCCACTGATTGAGAGATACATAATGTTTTGGTCAATCCTGGACTGTAATAGTTATGACTGATAATGGTCCGGGACAGGTTGAAATGTCATCTGAAGATTTTTTAGTAGTTCGGAGGGTCATTTGTGTGTGCGCTTCTGGCAAGACATCTGTTGAATGAGTGATGGTGAATGTATTTCCTTTTTTTGGCTCACTACCTTGATAGTGAACAGCTGATGTAGTAAAAAGGTAAATGAAATAATTGAAGGTGATTTCTTAACTGAGATTAACTTTCAAATATAAAAGTACAGCATGGCAGAAATGTCCCAATAAAAGGTGATAGTTTGATATCACTACAGAATCATTTGTAAATATTGATCAGATCTAATAGGCACTATTGCTCTTAGGTTAGTGGTGGAGAGATGCAGAAGTGGTTGACAGAACTTATGCCCTTGCTTCTGGAAATGTTGGGTGATGGTACATCTGGATGGAAGCGGCGTGTGGCCCTGTGGACGTTAGGCCAGCTAGTGGAGAACACTGGCTATGTGGTTCACCCTTACACTCAACACCCGACCCTACTTGATGTTCTCCTTTCATTCCTCAAGACTGAGCAACAACCTGCAGTAAGGTGAACTGCTCTTCACTTGATGAAAGTGAATGATATGTTTTAAAATACATTTAACAGACCTCAGTTTAGCGAACTTCAGAAATACAGAACAAAATCCGCTGGTCAGTAAGTTTGGAAACTGGTCAAAGTTTTTTGGTTGCAGAATTATTCATTATTGTTAGTCTTTTCTCTATCTACCACAATTATCATTACTGGCTACCCACTTCCCCCAATTAGTCTGTTAAATTGAGGGTTCACCATAGATTGATACTGTACAAAACATTTTTTTTTTTTTTAGTAAGAAAAAATTTGTTCCCCTTTCCCCAGGTCAAGACTGATATTTGTAATTGTGTGTAAATAACATTAGTCTACAGGGAAAATGCTTTGGAAATAAAACTAGTCATTCTCTACTAATTTGAGGTCACAGAATATGGAAATGGTGGTTAAAGTTGCAACTTGGCTCTATTTATAAAAATATGGACTCAGGTTGGTTGTCTTAATGCTGGTGAAGGGCTCTTGATCCAAGTAATTGGATTAGAACCTTGGATCAAACCTGATTACAGTGGAACCCTGGTCTTCGTCATTAATCCGTTCCAGAAGGACGGTTGAAATCTGAAATGGACGAGAACCGAAGTAATATTTCCCATAAGAAATAACGTTAATCCAATTAATCCATTCCAGACACCCAAAAATATTAACAAAAACTAGATTTTATAGAGAATAACTATAGTTTTACATACAGAAAGCAATGAGAAATAAATATAAAGCACTAATTTTAATGGATAAATGAATATTTAAATCACTTTTAGCTTTATTGAAGTGACTTATTGGCACGTGGAAGATGGCGAGGAGAGGAGGAGGAGGAAAGGTTATTGTTTGAAAGGGGACTCTTCCCTCTATATGGACTTCAGGTATCAAAGTCCTGTCCGGGGTTACTTTCCTTCTTTGTCTTATTATAAACTGGCACTAGGACCAGTTTGAGAGTCAGTGGACCATGCAGACATGGCTTGCAACAGCTTTGTTAGGGTGATTTTTCTCCAACTCTTCCACATTCTAGCTACACGATATTTAATGAGGCCCAGAGCCATATTATTATCATCAGCATGCCATATTCACTGAGTTTAATTGTTTCTAACAACTACTTTTAGATACCATCATAAACAAACGGAGAAGTAATGAATAATTTATGCCAAGAATTGTAAACAAAAGCGTTACGTATTAAGGGCAAACGCAGATTCATACACTTTTTCTCTGATGCTGGACCAGAGAAAACGTAATGTTTTCCCTCTGCCTGGCTAGCACACCTCCATAGCATATAAACATTGCATGTTTATATGCTATGTAACATGTTTCTTATATAATTTTGAAGAAAATATCATAGATGGATTAATGAAAATGTCTATATTAACTAAAAATAAGACATATAATGTGCCCAAGAGTTATTATTATTACTTATTCGTATCATGAACATATGAGCGGCCCAGGCAGCTGTGTATGGTACGGACAATTTCCGAGTGGATGTGTGAAATCCGGGATAAAAATTTGACGAAAAAAGTGGTCGAAATCTGAACTGTATGACATTCGGACTGGATGAAAACCAGGGTTCCACTACTTCTATTCTCCAGGTTCAGTAAGACTTCTACAGGGTTAGTGCTTTCCAATGAATATAATCATAATAGGATATTCTACAAAATGAATACAGTGGAACCTCGGCTTACGAATTTAATCCATTCCGTGACCTCGTTCATATTCTGATTTGTTTGTATGCTGAGTCAATTTTCCTCGTTGAAATTAATTGAAATGACATTAATCCGTTTCAGCGGAATTCCTGCTCTTAGGAGGCACGACAAAATACTTCAGTATGATGCTAATATCAACTCTACAGCTTATTTATATATCACAATTAATCTAATTTCACCATCACTCAAGGAATGCACAACAGTTAAATCATTGTCAATGTTCAGCATTTCTTCGATGTCAGCTTCCTGTAACTTCATTAGCACACAGTCGATGAGTGGAACAGTCTGCCTAGTATGGTTATTGAGGCTGAAACCTTGGGAAGTTTCAAATTTGTGTTGGATAAATACATGAGTGAGAAAGGTTGGATGTGAGTGGGACTTGCACATGAGTAAATAGAATTATCAATGCTTATTGCATGGGTAGCATTGAAAATTGAGTTGGGCAAATATTCTGTTATGGTTTGGATTGTGATGGACCTGCTTAGTATGGGCCAACAGGCCTGCTGCAGTGTATTATTAGTAGTACGTATGTATTATAATAATAATAATAATATTATTATTTTTTATAGGTAGTAGGTTGGTAGACAGCAACCGCCCAGGGAGGTACTACCGTCCTGCCAAGTGAATGTAAAACGAAAGCCTGTAATTGTTTTACATGATGGTAGGATTGCTGGTGTCCTTTTTTCTGTCTCATAAACATGCAAGATTTCAGGTACGTCTTGCTATTTCTACTTACACTTAGGTCACACTACACATACATGTACAAGCACATATATACACACCCCTCTGGGTTTTCTTCTATTTTCTTTCTAGTTCCTATTCTTGTTTATTTCCTCTTATCTCCATGGGGAAGTGGAACAGAATTCTTCCTCCGTAAGCCATGCGTGTTGTAAGAGGCAACTAAAATGCCGGGAGCAAGGGGCTAGTAACCTCTTCTCCTGTATATATTACTAAATGTAAAAGGAGAAACTTTCGTTTTTCCTTTTGGGCCACCCCGCCTCGGTGGGATGCGGCCGGTGTGTTGAAAGAAAGAAAGATTATTATTTTTATTATTATTATTATTATTAACCCTTAAACTGTCCAAACGTAGATCTACATTTGCAAGTGTAGCGCTCCAAACATAGATCAACATTTTTTTTCATGCCTTCAAATTTGCCACAATAGGCTTGAGTCACCTAGACATGAAAGAATGGGTCTGTGCACTCAGTGTGTGCACTATTAAAAAATCTGGGAGCACCAGTTCAATTGAGCGCCAGCTAGAGCAAATAGCGTGGCAAACACCAGAGATTCACTGATGCCATGTTGCATTAACACTCCCATTTTAAGAGGAAAGTAAAAATATGTTAGATAAATACATGAGTAAGTGTGGGTGGGTGTGAGTTGGACCTGACTAGCTTGTGCTACTAGGGCTGATGTCATGCTCCTTCCTTCAGTGGGTGTGACTTGACTAGGTGGGTCATTGGTCTAAGCCGGGGGGGAGGGGAGGGTGACATGTACCTGCCTTGCATGGGCCAGTAGGCCTGCTGCAGTGTTCCTTCTTTCTTATGTATTTGGCAGGCTGGCCGGCTGGCTTGCTTTGGCTATCTCTGGCTTTCTGTCTATATCTCTGTCTATCTATATCTGTCTCACATGTACACGTAAGTACAGTTATTATACATGGTGTAAATTACCTAGGATAATCCAAAAAATTCCAGGCAAAGGTAGACAGATAGATATTTAGACAGACAGACAGACAGATAGAGACATGTTTGTGTGTATCAGTGAAAACAAATAAAGCCAGGGTTCCCCCAAGCACCCATTTATCAAATGTCACTGAGCTGATAACAGATAAGTATAACACAATTCTTCAAGAGTGTGATATACTCCAGGCAGACAGAAAGACAAATAAGCAAAGACAGACAGACAGACAGGCAGGCACATAGACAGGCAGACACAGACAGGCAGATAGACAGACAGACATACAGACAGATAAATAGACAGAGAGCCAAGACATGTTTGTAACAGTGACAACAAATACAGCGAGGGTTAGCTGGAGCAGTGGGCATTTATCAAATGTCACTGGGCTGTCAACAGTATAGGGATGCCTTTCATTACAACATGCTTCAAGGTATATGCCAGGGTATCTAAAACATTGCTGGGACCTATAAATACTTTGTATATATTTCTAGACAATAGTAAATAACCCAGGCAGGTGTAAATGTTCACCTGTCACTGTGATTGTGACTATTTGAGCACTATTTCAGTACCTAATATTAGTGTCAGAACAAAGATTGATTATGAAATTACAAGAACTATTATAAATTGTAATTATCAGAACATAAAAAATATATAAATTAGAAACGAGAAAAAAAGGTATATCGGCAACACTTCTGCAAGCGGTAGGAGTTGATGTTGCCGTCAGGTGAGCAGCATCCAAAGCCAACTTCACGGTCTTATATCTTGGTAAGTACTGACCCTAAAATTTTTTTTTAATCCTCTAATATGTAGAAAAATGTGCTCTTCATTTTAAAAGATTTTTTTTTTTTTTTTTTTTTTTTTTTTAAATATTTGGAGTGCCACGCAAGTGAACTTAGATCTACGTTTGGACAGTTTAAGGGTTAATTTAGGGAAGTGGAGCACAGATCCAATTCCCTTGATCAAGAGCCCCTCACCAAGGAACCTCCCTTGAGGGGGAAGTTCACATCTTGAAATTTCGTTCGTATCCAGAAGCAAAAAATTGATCGAGTGACTTCGTATCCTGAAAAATTTGCATGGTGGGACATTCGTAAGCCGAGGTTCCACTGTAAATGCTTGGCTTCATGTTGTCTTGTAATTAAATTTGAAACCACAGTATATTCACAAGTACCTATGAGTTTTGCTCCATGCAGAAAAGAATATGAAAGCTGATGTGAGATTGCCTGTTTTTGTAATTTGATTTAATATTTTACAGGCGTGAAACTATTTGTGTGCTAGGTCTATTAGGAGCACTGGATCCCTACAAGCATAAGATGAACGTTGGTATGATCAAGATTCAGGAGGACACTGGTGTTGCTGTCATATCCATTACTGAAGCAAAGAATGATGACCTCACTGCTGGTAATATTTTTCACTTTTAATAATTTAGATTAATTGGATCTTTTTATATATTTTTTTGCATTCCATTATATTTTATCCTCTTCATATGTAAATATTTTTTATAATTTATTACAGCTATAGTTACAACACAAATTATTTACTGCATCTGCATTAGACCATCGATTAACATGTTCCTTTACCACGTTTTCTCTATTACTCTATTGCAAAACTGTAGCATATTTTCGACTAACACTCCTTAAAATTCGACTTAACACGGTGCCACTTCTGGGAAAAAAATTTGGAACACCGCATGCTGGACTGTGGGATTTTTCCTCTCCATCTAGTGGGCTCACAGGCAGCCTGCCTGTGGGTCAGGCCATAGTCTTTGTGGAGAAGGCCTAGCCTCCTTTCCTGCCTTGACGGTCCGACCTCTCACGTCTCAGTGCTCTGTACGTATGTCTCATACAGTTCTCAGATCTGCGTTTGTGATAAGGTTTTTGATCCTTTCATTAGCATATCGTGTAGTATCTACAAAGTAGCCATGGCACCCAAGAGGCATGCAAGTGGTGCTGGAAGTTGCAAGAAAAAAGTTTAAGCATTCAAGTCTTGGTGTTATGAAGATAATCAAACTATTAGACAAGCTTAAAAGTGGTGCATGTGTGGTGGAGACAGGGAGAGCTTATGGCCTTGATGAAGTGTCGGTTCGTACAGTTTAAAGGAATAAGGCAAATGTACGGGCTTGTGCAATGAATAACCCAAGTGGTCACCTCCTGAAAAGAATGACATATAGATTACAACCGAGTGAATATTTTATTTTTTATTAGCACACTGGCCGATTCCCACCAAGGCAGGGTGGCCCGAAAAAGAAAAACTTTCACCATCATTCACTCCATCACTGTCTTGCCAGAAGGGTGCTTTACACTACAGTTTTTAAACTGCAACATTAACACCCCTCCTTCAGAGTGCAGGCACTGTACTTCCCATCTCCAGGACTCAAGTCCAGCCTGCCAGTTTCCCTGAATCCCTTCATAAATGTTACTTTGCTCACACTCCAACAGTACGTCAAGTACTAAAAACCATTTGTCTCCATTCACTCCTATCAAACACGCTCACGCATGCCTGCTGGACGTCCAAGCCCCTCGCACACAAAACCTCTTTTACCCCCTCCCTCCAACCTTTCCTAGGCTGACCCCTACCCCGCCTTCCTTCCACTACAGACTGATATACTCTTGAAGTCATTCTGTTTCACTCCATTCTCTCTACATGTCCGAACCACCTCAACAACCCTTCCTCAGCCCTCTGGACAACAGTTTTGGTAATCCCGCACCTCCTCCTAACTTCCAAACTACGAATTCTCTACATTATATTCACACCACACATTGCTCTCAGACATGACATCTCCACTGCCTCCAGCCTTCTCCTCGCTGCAACATTCATCACCCATGCTTCACACCCATATAAGAGCGTTGGTAAAACTATACTCTCATACATTCCCTCTTTGCCTCCAAGGACAAAGTTCTTTGTCTCCACAGACTCCTATGTGCACCACTCACCCTTTTCCCCTCATCAATTCTATGATTCACCTCATCTTTCATAGACCCATCCGCTGACACGTCCACTCCCAAATATCTGAATACATTCACCTCCTCCATACTCTCTCCCTCCAATCTGATATCCAATCTTTCATCACCTAATTTTTTTGTTATCCTCATAACCTTACTCTTTCCTGTATTCACTTTCAATTTTCTTCTTTTGCACACCCTACCAAATTCATCCACCAATCTCTGCAACTTCTCTTCAGAATCTCCCAAGAGCACAGTGTCATCAGCAAAGAGCAACTGTGACAACTCCCACTTTATGTGCGATTCTTTATGTTTTAACTCCACGCCTCTTGCCAAGACCCTCGCATTTACTTCTCTTACAACCCCATCTATAAATATATTAAACAACCACGGTGACATCACACATCCTTGTCTAAGGCCTACTTTTACTGGGAAATAATTTCCCTCTTTCCTACATACTCTAACTTGAGCCTCGCTATCCTCGTAAAAACTCTTCTCTGCTTTCAGTAACCTACCTCCTACACCATACACCTGCAACGTCTGCCACATTGCTCCCCTATCCACCCTGTCATACGCCTTTTCCAAATCCATAAATGCCACAAAGACCTCTTTAGCCTTATCTAAATACTGTTCACTTATATGTTTCACTGTAAACATCTGGTCCACACATCCCCTACCTTTTCTAAAGCTTCCTTGTTCATCTGCTATCCTATTCTCCGTCTTACTCTTAATTCTTTCAATAATAACTCTACCATACACTTTGCCAGGTATACTCAACAGACTTATCCCCCTATAATTTTTGCACTCTCTTTTATCCCCTTTGCCTTTATACAAAGGAACTATGCATGCTCTCTGCCAATCCCTAGGTACCTTACCCTCTTCCATACATTTATTAAATAATTGCACCAACCACTCCAAAACTATATCCCCACCTCTTTTAACATTTCTATCTTTATCCCATCAATCCCGGCTGCCTTACCCCCTTTCATTTTACCTACTGCCTCACAAACTTCCCCCACACTCACAACAGGCTCTTCCTCACTCCTACAAGATGTTGTTCCTCCTTGCCCTATACACGAAATCACAGCTTCCCTATCTTCATCAACATTTAACAATTCCTCAAAATATTCCCTCCATCTTCCCAATACCTCTAACTCTCCATTTAATAACTCTCCTCTCCTATTTTTAACTGACAAATCCATTTGTTCTCTAGGCTTTCTTAACTTGTTAATCTCACTCCAAAACTTTTTCTTATTTTCAACAAAATTTGTTGATAACATCTCACCCACTCTCTCATTTGCTCTCGTTTTACATTGCTTCCCTCACTCTCTTAACCTCTCTCTTTTTCTCCATATACTCTTCCCTCCTTGCATCACTTCTACTTTGTAAAAACTTCTCATATGCTAACTTTTTCTCCTTACTACTCTCTTCACATCATCATTCCACCAATCGCTCCTCTTCCCTCCCGCACCACTTTCCTGTAACCACAAACTTCTGCTGAAGACTCTAACACTACATTTTTAAACCTACCCCATACCTCTTCGACCCCATTGCCTATGCTCTCGTTAGCCCATCTATCCTCCAATAGCTGTTTATATCTTACCCTAACTGCCTCCTCTTTTAGTTTATAAACCTTCACCTCTCTCTTCCCTGATGCTTCTATTCTCCTTGTATCCCATCTACCTTTTCTCTCAGTGTAGCTACAACTAGAAAGTGATCTGATATATCTGTGGCCCCTCTATAAACGTGTACATCCTGAAGTCTACTTAACAGTCTTTTATCTACCAATACATAATCCAACAAACTACTGTCATTTTCGCCCTACATCATATCTTGTATACTTATTTATCCTCTTTTTCTTAAAATATGTATTACCTATAACTAAACCCCTTTCTATACAAAGTTCAATCAAAGGGCTCCCATTATCATTTACACCTGGCACCCGAAACTTACCTACCACACCCTCTCTAAAAGTTTCTCCTACTTAAGCATTCAGGTCCCCTACCACAATTACTCTCTCACTTGGTTCAAAGGCTCTATACATTCACTTAACATCTCCCAAAATCTCTCTCTCTCCTCTGCATTCCTCTCTTCTCCAGGTGCATACACGCTTATTATGACCCACTTCTCGCATCCAACCTTTACTTTAATCCACATAATTCTTGAATTTACACATTCATATTCTCGTTTCTCCTTCCATAACTGCTCTAACTCTCTCAGATACTCCAGATTTAATCCCATTTATTTCCCCCCACCGAAACTCCCCTACCCCGTTCAGCTTTGTTTCGCTTAGGGCCAGGACATCCAACTTCTTTTCATTCATAACATCAGCAATCATCTGTTTCTTGTCATCCACACTACATCCACGCACATTTAAGCATCCCAGTTTTATAAAGTTTTTCTTCTTCTTTTTTTAGTAAATGTCTACAGGAGAAGTGGTTACTAGCCCATTGCTCCCGGCATTTTAGTCGCCTCATACGACACGCATGGCTTACGGAGGAAAGATTCTTTTCCACTTCCCCATGGACAATAGAAGAAATAAAGAGGAACAAGAGCTATTTAGAAAAAGGAGAAAAACCTAGATGTATGTATATATATATGCATGTGCGTGTCTGTGAAGTTTGACCAAAGTGTAAGTAGGAGTAGCAAGATATCCCTGTTATCTAGCGTGTTTATGAGACAGAAAAAGAAACCAGCAATCCTACCATCATGCAAAACAGTTACAGGTTTCTGTTTCACAGTCATCTGGCAGGATCGGTAGTACTTCCCTGGGTGGTTGCTGTCTACCAACCTACTACCTACTACTCTTAATTCTTTCAATAATAATTCTACCATACTCTTTACCAGGTATACTCAACAGACTTATCCCCTTATAATTTTTGCACTCTCTTTTGTTCCCTTTGCCTTTATACAAAGGAACTATGCATGCTCTCTGCCAATTGAATTTAACAAAAAACAAAAAAAGATATTCCACTTAATTTCATCTTAATTAGGAGAAAGGCCCTAGAGTTTCTAAAACAGTGTGTAATGAGGAAGGAAGGCCTGATCAAGAGTGTTTTTAGCACTAGCTGGGCCCTAAAAGTTCATTTATGTAATAGGTTATATAATATTAAGTTTTCGGTAAAAGAGCTTTATGATCACACAACAGTAAGTAATACTCTGCGGCTGCAGAATTATTTCTGAGGGGACAGCAACAGAAAGTTTTTTAATGTGATGAGACAATATTTTTTTGGAAAAAATCCCCATAAAGAACTACATAATCACAAGAGAAAAGTCACCGGGGATTAAAGGGCAGCAACGGATCGCTTCACCTTGCTCTTTTTTGGTATGGGCGTCATGTAAATTTTAAATGAAACCCATGGTTATTTCCCATTCCAAGACCTTTGCTTTTAAAGTGTATAAAACCCCCTTGCCATAATTTATAGGTCAAACCAATCAGCATGGATGACAGAGGGAAATTTTTTATTTTGTTTAAGTATTCTTTTTTTCCCGAAACCAAATTTTACCTCACTTTAAGAGCCCTTTCATTCAAGGTTCTCTCTCATTTAGAAGCTTTGTTGGACATAAACCCACATGTAAAATTGTACAGTAATACCCCCGTTTTTTATCCCTTAAACTGTTCCAGAAGGTTGGCCAAAAACGAAATGGACAAAACAAAATAAATTTCCATAAAAATAATTAAACCAATTTAAACCGTTTCCCGACACCCAAAAATATTAACAAAAAATACATTTTAAGGAATAACTACAATTTAGATCAGAAAACAATGAGAAATAAAAAAAAAAGCCTAATTTTAAGGATAAAAAAACATTTAAAACACATTACATACCTTTTATTGAAACCTTGTTGGAATTTTAAAACAAGGAAGGGAGAAGAAGAGAGGTTATTTTTTGGAAGGGGAATTCCCCCCTAAGGCTTTGGTTTTGTTTTGCAATTTACCCCTTTTGCAACTCAGCTTCCCTTTATTTCTCCTTTTTTTCACCAGGGGGACTGATTCTTTTTGTCGACTTTTTACTACCAGCAGCTCGGCCATACATATGCCACTTTAATTTTCCTACAGTTCTTTTTTGAATGGGAACAATTTGAGGTCCTGGACCCTGTCGCACAAAATATCTGTCCGAGAGGCTTTTTGGGGTTTTTAAGATTTCCCGTCATTTTACATGTTCAGATATGGCTTGTTTTAGCTTGGTCAGGTGAACTTTCAACAAAACTTTTCAACCATTCCACATTGCACAAATTTCTTTTTCTTGAAGAAGGCACCTCATCCACTCCCTCTTCCTCCTCTGAACAAGTTCCTCGGGTGTGGTCTGATGCTGTTCCCAATTGAAGCTCTTGCTTCGCAGGGTTTGCCTTCCCCGTGGCCTCCACCCAATCTTTCCCCATCCCCGTCAAAAACCCCTGATCGTGTTCCTCACTTTTTTACCAAAGGGGTTGCATTAAACTTTCCTTTGGGGCCCTGAGGCTTATTAGCAGTTGCAAGCACAAAAAGCAATGATATTATGAAATTTGATGAACCCACGGGGGGGATGGACTGTTGGTAAACAATGGGACATGAGCGGAATGGGTGGAGACTGGCTTTGGGTGCGCGGTACGGCAGCGGGGACCAACGGGCGCCAAACACAGTCTTTTCACGAAACTCAGGCCAAATTTTTCCCCCCAAAAATCGCCGGGTCG